GATCATCTGCACAGAGTCTGGAGCCGTTTGGCGTCGTATCAAGCGCGCTAAAGCGAAGGATGCTGCCACCCCGGGGTCAGCAGACATCAAGAGAAAGGATTTCAAGTTCCAGCGTGTACCGAGTATCACCAATGCTGTTGCTGTGCGGAGCTCCACGTTTGGTGCATTCGCGGCAATTCGCAAGGATTGTGATGTCATGAAGGAACAAATCAGCATCAACGAGCAGTCCCTCTGGGAGGACTTTGCCTCCCTATTCGCACTACGAGAGTTTCAGGCATCGAGGCCCAATCCCGGCGACAAGGACACGATCGGTTTCTGGAAAGCCGAGGAACTGAAGTATCGGATAGGGGAGCTGCCGTACGAACTCCTCAAGTCCGTGGATCTGGAGCGTGACTTACGACAATTTCTCCTGATGTACCCGAACTCGGACGTTGACATGGAGATCCGCACCTCGTCATATCCAGATGTCAAGATACCGGTGCACTCATGGATCTTGACTGCCCGAAGCTCTGTTCTGCGAAGTTTGCTCAGCGACTATCGCAATGGTGGTCAGGGGGACATCCCGCAAGTGCTAAGTCTCGAAGAGGGAGATGGGAGGACGATAATCACCCTCGAATCGGTCGACCTGCTGTCTATAGTGAACCTGGCCGTCTATGTTTATGATGACACCGTCGTCCCGGCATGGAATCACACTCGCCAAGCACCCGCTCTAGCCCACAGGTATCGCCAGGTTCGGAATGAGCTGATGAAGCTTGCGACGAAGCTTGACATGATGAAGCTGGAGTCGGCTGTCCGTCTGCAGACGACTGCGGAAAAGTCCCTGGACAAGGACTTTGCCAAAGCCATTCATGACCTCAGGTACTTTGAAGACGCGGATGCTCTTGTTGAGCTCGACGGCGAAGAGGTACCGGTTCACAGCCAGTTGCTGCGCCAGAGATGCGAGTTCTTCGAAGGCCTGTTCCATGGGCGAGCCGGCGGCATGTGGCTTGCTGGCCGTCGCGATGAACTCGACGAGGAAGAACTTGTCCGGGTGGACCTGAGTCATTGTGATCCTGAGGCGTTCCAATATGTCTTACGATACCTCTACGCAGACGTTGGGACGGAACTCTTCAACCAGACCACATCAGCCAATATTGACGATTTCTCTGACCTGGTAATGAGCGTCATGAGTATTGCAAACGAACTCATGCTAGACCGGTTGTCCCAGATCTGCCAATACGTAATTGCACGTTTCGCCAATACTCGAAACATCGCTCTGCTGCTCAACGAGATCAGCGCATGCTCTATTACGGAGTTCAAAGACGCGGGGCTGGAGTACATTTGTCTGCAAATGGAGGCTGTGCTGGAAAACCACTTTTTGGATGGCTTGGAGGAGGATCTCCTAGAGGAGTTGGATAACGTCGTCCGAGAAAATCAGCTAGCTCGCTATCCTTTCGCCAGAAGTGGACGGGCCGAGCTGCTCTTGTTTGAAAAGGACCCCGATCTGGCTCTCGATATTGACGAGGAACGCCGTCGGAGAGTGCGCGAGATGGCTTTCCGGACTACGCAACGAGACGACGAAAAGAAGATTTCATCATCCTTCAAGACCAAATTCGGCAGCCTTGAAGACTTGTCCGGCGTTACCTCTCCCAGTTTGGACAAATCTCGGCGCAAGTCCAAGACTGGCCGCAACGAGCCGTTCAGTCCCAGCCTCAGACCCAAGGAATCCCATGCCGATTTGATGTTCAACATGGACGACGAGGGACCTTCCGCTCTAGGTAGCCCTACAGTATCACCCACGCAAAGGGCTGCTGAGGCAAAGAGCCAGTCCGAATTGGACCGGATTCCGTCGTTGTCTAGTCCCTGGAAAGACACCAAGGTCCAGGCAGGCTCGCCGCAATACCCAGTGCAAAGCCCCCCGATGGGTACATCCGCCAACCTCGGCATGAGCCCTTCGCCGGCAGACTCACGTGGGCCGACTGCCCAAAGATCTGGCAGCCCGTGGGCGGCAGCGGCATTCCCAACCCAAAAGATGGACCTGCGTCGAGTTCTGACGGAGACGCCAACAAAGTCCGCCTTGTCCGCCGGCATTGCCGCGCAAAAGAGCAAGGAGGCTTCGCCCAAGCTCGCGCAGCCCAAGGTATCGCAAAAGGAGCGAAAGAAGCAACAGCTAGCCCAGGCCGCTGCTCAGGCGGCTCTCGAGGCTGAGGTGTCACAGCCGAAAGCAGCCTGGGACAAGGACGCAGCTGGCAACAAACCTGCCCCCTGGAAGCCTGTCACGAGCGGGCCCAAGACGTCGTTGAAAGATACACTGGCCAAGGGCTTAGCTAAACCAGTATCACCGCCAGTGGACAGCCCAACTTCAAAGCCGCTGCTCTCAGTCGAGAGCTCTGCGAGATCTTCACCGCGGAGGGCAGCTTCGCCGGACACGCGGTTCCCGGGCCAATCCCGCGTCAGCAGCTCCTCCCCTGCCGTGGCCGGCGCCTCGACAAGTCAGCCCGCGTCGTCGAAGCCGCTGGTCCCGCACTCCAAATCTTACATTACACCCGCGAACAAGGCCGAGCCCATTTTGGGACTGAGTATGGCAGACATCATCGGCCAGCAGAAGCGGGAACAAGAGATTGTCAAGGAAGCTGTGGCGAAGAGGTCGATGCAGGAGATCCAGCAGGAGCAGGAGTTCCAGGAGTGGTGGGACCAGGAGACGCGGCGGGTGCAGGAGCAGGAGGCGAGGCGGGAGACCAAGGATAAGACGGCGAGGGAGGGTAGGGCGCAGAAGGACGGCGGCGGCGGAGGCGGCAGCAGCAGCAAACGAGGGCGTCGGGGCCGGGGCGTCGCCAAGGGCAAAGCATCTGGTGGCGCTCCTCCGGGTCAAGAACACGGCGCCGCCGCCGCCAGCAACGCCGGTAACGTCGATGCCGGAGGGGCACCACCGGCCAAGGCGCCCGGTGGCCCGGCGAATAACCCCCGAGGGCGTGGTCACCGTAACCGGGGGAGAGGTGGGAAAGCATCGGCATCCGCAGCGGCATCTACATTGTGATTTTTTGCGTCTTGGTTACAACTGATTTTTTAGGGCGTTTCAAGGTGTCACGGAGCCCGACGAAAAAACCTCGAGGCATGGTTTTACATTTGGGAAACACGGGAATTGGGTTTTCTATTTTACACGAGCATTGGCGGACACCAACTTTGTGTGGTTGCCAAATGTTTTCAAATTGCTTTTCGCTTGGTCACAATAGACGAAATGAGAAGACAGACAGACGGAAAGAGAAAGAGACTTCTTCACTCCTACATGTTGCACCCACTGCCGCCGACCGCTTCTCAAAGATTTTGACAAGACTTGCACGATTCAGGTTCTCGTTCACCGTTGAGCGCTAAGGCATTGGCTTGGTAACGGACTTGTCCTTTTGCTAGATGGGAGGTGATGCCATGTGACCGGTGGGGGAGGCAGAAAGGTTGCCAAGAACGGTATACTTGGAGCTACCTACTAAGCAAGAAGCAGAAGGCCCTCTTCCTCCGCATCGGCGATTTTACCACGATGCCGTGCCCGCTTTCTCCTCCGATGTACAGGTCTCACAGAGCGTATCTATACGCAAGTGTAAAAAGGGGAGGAAACGTGTGGTACTTTCGGGAGATGGGTCCGATCTGCAGACGCCGGTTCGGATGCAGCGTGCCACTGCGCCAGAACCACAGTCACCATGAGTTGGGTGGTGTGTGATGCGTTGTGGTGCGCGGTTGACTTGCCTTACGTTGAACGGGTGCGGGGGAGAGGAGTGGAGCCCGGGCCGGAGCATGGTCTTATCGTTATCTGCAGATATCACGAGTCGGGTGGCAGTGGCACTGATAATGATAATGGCAACTAACCTGAAGCACCAAAGACGATGGTGGTGATGCTGATAAGGGGGCTGGCTGCCAGGCTGGCTGATGGATGTGCAGGTTGCTAGTTCATTGGCGATCGGTGCGATGACTCGTTTGCCCGGGGAAAGGTTGCTTGCTGCTTGGCTGCTCGATTTGGGATTGCCGCACATGCCGCCAGGGGTGGGATCACGACAACATTGACAGGCAACGAAGCGGCAAGCCAGATGGAGTAGGTCCTTGGGGGTTTGCCTTGCCACGCTTGCCTACCTTGGTATATGGGCGAGAGATCGGTTTCTCGGACAGTGCCGTTTAGAGGAGCTGCTGGAGGCTAGATCCGGCGCATTACAAAGTTGCCGCCCGTGAAGAGACGACGATAAGAGAGGCGGGTACTCTGTCGGTCCTGAGTCTGTAAAACAGGATTGGGGGTTCCCAAAGAAAAGAAAGGAAGACGAGCTGAGCGCTATGGTGACGGGAGAAGGATTCCCGGGATCAACCGAGGACCGGGTGAGTCGAGTGCCTACGTTAGTGTTAGTGTCGACTACCGGCGTACGAGCCTGCGTACCTTGGACCCTGCCATCTATCCGCCTTTTGAAAAGTGTCTTTGCTCATCGTGGACTCGGGCGAGAGAAACGTCGGCGACCTTGTTGACCTCGACGTTCACTTGATGGACGCAAGGGCCATGGCGATAAATCGAAATGATGATGGCGCTGGGATGACCCGGCGTCGATGCCAGCTGTCAGCGAGCACCAGTATGTATTTGGATCCAACCCCAATTCTTCGCATTGCAGGGTCTATGGGAAAGCCTGCGGTACTCCGTACAAGTCAACAAATCAACAAGCAAACACCGCTGCGGCCGAGAGAAGCGGCCCTGAAGCAAGGCAGAGAAGAGCAGGGACAAGCGAGACTGGTGCGACTGGTAACAGAAAGTCAACGAGGCACAAGTTGGCCGAGGCAAGGGAAGAGTGAAAGTGGAAGTGACTTAGCAGAGCCGCCCGCCACCCCTTACCTACCCCGTCATTTCTGCCCCAGAACCCAGCGGTCATGCATGGGGTGGAGTTGAGGCCATTCTGAGGTCCGGGCTTGGTACGGAGTAGGGTCGCGGCGCTGCCTATTCCCCATCCAGGGCATTTTTGCATATTGGAGGCGGCGACCCGGAGGACTTCCAGGACTCAAGCGTCAAAGATGTGAGAGCCAATCCCCGTTGATTTGATTGCCTGACCTCTCCGTATCGGGGCAAGTGTCTGTATGACTACGAGGTGCAGTCCCGGGCGCGCCCCATACATGATACATGCAGCTGGCGATGGCTTGCTCAAGTTGGTGAGTGGCAGCCTAGAGGAAGAACTTGGAAGAAGTTGAGCCTCGAAGTCTAGGTTGGGGTTGGTTGACCGCCGTCGACCGTTGGAGTTGGAGTTGGAGTCAGAGATGGAGTCATGTCGATTTGAGGATGATGGTGGTGACTCTGACTCGGAAGGCAATCCGTGCCACCCCTCAGCCTCTTTCTTTTTCGTCTTCCTTTCTTCTTTTCTGCATTTTTGGGTCTTCTTTGTTGACATTTCTCGACGCGGTATGTCGATATCCTCAGGTCAGCTGGGGGTAATCAATCGAGCCCAGGGAAGCAACACAAAGACTCTTGGTGATTGAATGAGGAGCATGCAGGAGGCATTTCAAGAGACAAAAGTGGAAGAATGGGAGTCTTCACCCCACGGCCGCCGTCACACAATGGGAAGGCCGGTGCTACTATGCATCTCGACGAACGAAAGGTGCAAGTACAACCAGGAAGCAAGAGCAAGGCATGGTACTTTGACCATGTACTTCCCGTCGTTTGTACTTTGGAGAACATCAGGGTGCTTCCACTGTACTGCGTATGTCACCTTGTCTCTACGTACTTGGTCCACCTGCGATCGTGCCTGAGGAAATGGAAAGCAACACACTCACAACTTCACAACTCCAACAACGCTCATCATCAGTCAATACAAGACAGCAATTCACACAACAACACCAACTGATCTTGTCCTGCGGTGCTACACTACAAACAACAACACCTGCAGCAACTTCAAACCCCAGCTCTGTTCCGTCCCGTCCCATCCCATCCCATCCTGTTCCAGTCAACCTACCTTAACGGAACGATGCATGCACGGGTGTGTCTTGGTCCACCGCCCATCACAGATGCAGCCCCATCGAGCCCATCCATGCTCCCCCTGTTGCTGCTCCATGCCCTGCCCCCCCCCCCCCCCATGCCGCGGCTACTGGCTGCTGTTGGGCCTGCACGGCCTGGTACTTCTCCCACGGATACTTCCACTGTCCAGGCTGTTAGCAGCTCCTCATGCCGGGGCGGATGCGCTGCCGCTGCAGGACCCAGACCAGCCGGTGCCAGCTCCTCTCCTGCCCCCTACCTCTACCCTAGGTACCCTGTCACTCCTTTCTCTGTGAGCCTCTGTCCCTATCACTGAGGTGAGGTGGTGAGTCTCTCCAAGTCACTACCAAGCTCTGTATCTATACCTACACGCAGTCACTTTGTTGTGTGCTTATCCACACACTCAGACAGCTCCGACGAGAGATCCATGTCATCGGCTGCTCAGCGTCCTCCCTTCCCATCTCTCTTCCATCATCCTCTGCCTCCTGTACCTTACCTCCAAATCTACTCTGTTACCTCTCGCCCTCCCTCGTCTTGTGTTCCTAAATTACCCAGCAATTGCTCAGACAACAATCCCTTTGTCTTTGCCTACCTCAACGTACCCCATTATCTACTTCTTCTTGTCCTCTTTGCATCATCACCTCTGGCCCTTGCGCCTTATCGCCCTTGGCCCCCATTCTGACAACGCTAAATCTCCATTCTGCTCTCCAAAGTACTCACCACAACCTTTCCCCCATCATCACTCTTCTACACTTTCCCTCGCTCTCTTCAAGTCAGCATATCCCGTCTGATCTTTCTGCTGTGCCTGTTTCTTCTTCTGTGCCATCCTTAGCCTTCCCTGCCCTCTTCCCTAGGTACGAACGCATCGACAAGTATACACCGCTTTACTTGCTTGCCTGAATTCAGTCCATTCTGTTGGCCCACCCAGGTGACTCGATGACGGAAGGGTACTTGTCGACGATCACGAGGCTCAACAACCATTGAGCGGATGACACCAGCGCCGATAACCTCCGACTCGACCACCACGGCACCGCAACTCCGCACATCGCCGTCCATTCTTCTCTGAACTCCTCCGTCCTTCTTGGAATTCGGATAACCACACCAGCCGCGCATTTTGGAGCGGCTCGTTTGCGTTGCTGTTGGAGCACCTGCTTAGGAAGTCGCTTTCCCTGCTTGGCGAAAGCTTCCCCTCTGTCACCACAGCTTCTCGTTTCGACTTTCCTGCTCTGTACCGCACGCAACCGAGAGCCATGGTCCAAGGCAGCGCTTAAGGTAGCTTGTCCATTTCGCCCTCGCCCTCGTTCTACCGTTCTGCAGTCATCCAGCCCGGCTCCGTAACGCCCTTGGCCTGCTTGTGCGATATCGCTTCTCACCATTCGCCGCCCGTCTCCACGTTGGCTTTGTCGCCTTGCCCGTCGTTGCCTGCGTCGTTTGCGCGCCGTTCCAAAAGGGTATTGCAACAACTACTTTCTCTCCGCCCGCCCTACGAGTTCTCCTCCCCCGACCGGCCGATTCTCCTCTCGCTGTGCGCTCAACGACCGAGGGTATCGAGGTGTTTCACTCCCCTTTGCAGTTGTCATGAAGGATGGATGAGCAAGTTCGGTACCACCCCAACTTCGATATCGCGAATACCCTCTCCCCCGCCGCCTAGAACTTCCACGAATTCGCAACACACAGCTCGTCCTTGTCTTCCCGAAGCTTAGCCTACCACGGCGGCTTTTCAGATCAATCTTGTCCTAGACTTGCCCTTGGGGCCGCAATCTGCCAGACAAGATGCATCAGCAAGCTCGACCCGCCCCACGGGTCTCTTCCCCCGCTTCTGCGCCCCAGACGAATCCCACAAGAACGAACAACCCGAGAGAAGGAATGCTTGGTACACGCGAAAGGGCTAGCTCGGGAGCGTCTGGTCGCGATTCTGCCGCAGCGTCACCCACCATCGAGACGCCACCAGGTTCCGTTTCGGCAGATGCCGTCAAGAAGTTGGATCAGATAATTCAGGTGTGTACTACGAGACAGAGGTCAAAAGGTGCCATAGCCAAGATCTGCCACTAATTTGAGCGCAGAACTTCCACACCAAAGCCGCATCGCTGGTGTTGCAATCACGTTTGAACCTGAAGCCCATATATGCGGCTCGTGGCTCTGGGAACAAGAAGCTGAACAAATGGGTGAGTGCTGGCTCGTTTTCAACCTCTGGCATCGCTTGCAGAGCCGGGTACTGACGCCCGTGCCTCCTTAGTTTCAAATCGAGACGGAAGAATTCGACGACTTCAAAGAGGAGCTTCGTATTTGGCGTAACTGCGGTAGCTTCGAGAACAAGCCTATGCCCCTCATCATCGAAACCTATCTCGATACATCACGTTTAACCCCTAGTCAGAGCCTGGTCATTGTGGACGAAAATGGCAAAAGATGGGACGTGATGGAAGCTCTCAACTCATCCGATTCGAGCGACGACGGCCGCTCTCTGCCCACAAAGAGAAACACGGAGGTGATACTCGAAAGATGGCGCATTGAACTCAAGACATTTCCCACATCCGACCCGGACGACTTTGGCCCAATATTGCCAACCATCTACAAAAAGAGCATCGTCTTCTTTCGGTCTCTCTTCGTTGCAACCAGGATTCTTCCTGCCTGGAAGTTCTCTCAAGCATCTGCAACAAAAGGCGTCCATCCTTCATTAGAACCCCGTTGCCGTGTCCGAACCGGCGAACTAGACACCGGCGGCATCGACCGGCTTAGGCATCCGTTGTACGATGGTCGCCCGGATGTCGTAACTGATTACGTTTTTGGCGACTTGGAGGTACCGGTTGGTCGCTTCTATGCATCAGTCACTTATAGAAATGAGTGTAACTTCAGAGTGGACGACTCAGAGGCGTTGCTAAGCTCACGATTCATGGGCGTCGATGAGAACTTCTTCAAGCCATCGCTGCCCCAGCGGACATCAAGCACCCGACGAAACGACCCCGAGGTGGGTTCTCTTCCGTCTCACAGAAGGAGTAGGACTCTTGCAGATATGCACCAGACATACGGCAGTCTCTCAACCTTTCACGGGGAGGGAGCCTTGGGCACTAGCCCTATATCAGCTCTCAAGGCTGTGAAGCCCCCTGGATCTGACACGAGCTCTCCGCCTGGGTCTGCTCCCACGAGCAATGAGCTGAACCCACCAAATTCATTACCCGTCACCGGCCTCGCAACAAGGCCCTCAATGAAGGGCTTCAGCAGCAGTGGCCGACGTCCGTCCGTCTCTTTCCAGCCATTCAAGGCTGGGTCACTGTCTGGATCCCCCGTGCCTCGAACTCTCGATTCCGAATCTCCCGCGTCTCCCATCTCACGCGCGGCGGCACTTAATGCTCTTACACAACCTCGCAATCGGACGTCACTGACAGCAGGAATGCCTGCCACCCTACGAGGTGGCCCTCCACCGGCCGAAACAGCCGTAGTAGGCTCGCCCCGGCCGTCTTCGACAAGTCGGTACAGCAGCAGTTTTACTCACCGCAAAGGACGGTTATCATTTGGCGGCGCTAGCAAAGCCGGCGATGATGAGCAAGGAAGCAGCGGTCGACAAAGCCTATCCTCGTCAGTGGCTCAGCCAGGATCAGGTCTTCTAGCAGAAGCGAGTGCAGGCGGCAGCTCCGGATCGCTCCAAACAGATGACGATCAGATCTCGGAATTCTTGAAGGCGCTGGATAGCAAGAAGACGCTCAAGAGCTTCGAGTCAGGCAAGAAGGGCGAGGGCGCGACGAATCGGACAGTCGCACAGCTTTCGAGGTTTCACCTCATGAAGGAGTCGAACCAGGCGCTGACAGACTCAATGACTTCGTCGATGCAAATGCAGCGCTCCTCAAGCTCATCCAGTCGGCAGCTGTCCAACGTGCCAAGCATGGCCGCGCCAGCGTCAGTATCCGTTTCCTCCTCGCCCGGAAAGCCTCTCTCTCCTCACACCCCTCATACGCCTGCTGTCCCCTCACGATTGAGCGAAAACTCGATCATCAACTACAACACAAGCCAGCCGCGAAGCGACCGCACCAATCCCAGTGCAGAGAACACACAGATGCCTAGAGAGGACACCATCACCCAGGATGGGACCACTGCCATTGACATACCCATCTCTCCCAGAATCGGCACCCACCCTAGACGGTCTAGCTCGGTGGCACAGCAGAATCGGGCCATGGCCGACGATGAAGACGGGGATCTAGCCTTCGCCGCCAATCGCAGCATCAGCTTGGGGGCAGAGGATCGCGAGCCGCCCACGCTCAGCATGCTGCTGGGAAGACAGACTGAAGCTGAGTCTGCGTCTCGCCGAGCAGCGGGCTCGCTGCAGCCGACAGCAGACATCCCGTCCTCAGGTTCGGCAGAGATGATGAGGCAGGGCTCATCAGAAGGATCCAAACCCCCAGGTGGATTGATGGCAGTCGCGCCATCCAGCTCGCCATTTGGCAGGCGTCGTTACGCTGGCATGGCATCCACGGGAGGACGAGGCCAGACGCCTCCCCAGTCCTCCAGGGGAAGCTTCACGGGGTCCATTGGACGGTACGGACGCGGCGAGAATGACTTGATGGATGAAGAGCCGCTCCTTTTCGATATGTCAGAAATGGATGCGCAATCGCGGAGAAGTCTGGAGGAGGGCCGAGGTGGTGGCAACATTGGTTCTGGATCTGGCAGTCGAGCCGACTTTGAACCTCGCGGTATCAGTCGAAGGGGATGGTGAGCAAGGTGCCCTCAGTGGTGACGAGGGACGGCTTCACAAGGAGATTGCTGAAGGTAGCCAGGAAGCGCATCAGGCCCATCTATTTTAGTGGGTTATACTTGGGACTGAATGACACGAGCGCTTTTTTTTTTTTCTTTCTGTTTTTTTTCATAGGCCTACAAGGCTCAGGAGGACCTGAGGACAGGGTCCGGCAGAAAGGTATCATCGAAACGGTCTTTCATTTTTACTTCTCTTCTCCTGTTTTCAAGACATACATCAACGGGTTGGAGAGATGGGTTCATGGCGTTGGATGGAATCGGAATGGCCAAGACAATTCCCAGTGCCGGCAGAGACGGCGGGGAGCACCTTGGGGAACCAAGGACATAGTACAGTTACGATAGAGAATGCACAAAGACTGGCATGCATATACGCATTACTTTTGGGCCCCGAGTATGAGCTATCCGCCATCGCATGAGCTCAAGCTTAGAACTTGCAAGGGCGCAGTGACGATCCAGGGGTGCTAGACGTTCCAGATGTGGCTTGACGTCGTTGCTGGTCCGGTTGGTTGGCAGCTTGTTTCCGTGTTGGGTTCCCCGCAGGCCGTGATGGTGTGGCGCACGCAAGACTGACGTGGTGTTGTATACTAAGTATTTGGTTTCATCTCTCATGATCCTGTTTTCTGTTCTTTTGATCTAGGTATTCTGACAGCTTGATGCCTCTTGTGACGGAGAGATGTGGTCACCAAGGTATATTGTAATCTATCTCGGGGCTACGTGGTGATTGTTGGGAAGTGAAGGGTAGCGACTGCAAGTGAAGACTTGGATGATGCATGGATGTCTTAGGTAGAAGAAGAAGAGAGATATGTAGCTATTTTAGGCAGCGGGTTTGAAGATGCTTCTTTGTAGGCTAAAACGAGGCTAAGGTAAAATAAACGCAAGAAGCCGTGGGGACCGTGGTGGAGCAAGCAGAGGACGATGACCGGCCGGAGGAGGCAGGTCGCAGGACTCTCGGGCTCAGAGACGGATCAGGATCCGTTGGAATTAACGGGAGTCGAAGAAAGTCATCGTCGCAATTGGGCAGCGAAAGAAGAGGAGCCTACGGAGCAAGGTATGGAAGGCAACAAAAGAACCAAAGGCCCACGCGGTTGGTTACGCATGCTTTTGGCCGTCTCTCCTCCACACATGTGGCGGTGCATCAATTGGCCATGGGAAATGGGTACCGTTTGGAGTGTTTCCTGCCAGACCGCGGGTGGCAGAGGAGCAAGTCCGCGTAATTCATGGGCGAAACGAGCTCAGCCCCCGCTGTTGGATTTTCCTGAGGTATACTGTGTACCCATGCAGTAACTTACAGAGCTAGGCGGTGATGACGACGGGGCCTCTTTCGGGCTCTCCAAGGCGCACTTTGTTGGCGGCACCGCAGCACCACGTGAAGTATGTCACTCTCCTACTGTAATTGTATGCATTGGGTACATCCCCCGCACATCTAGAAAGCTGAAGAAGAGCAGCAGCTCACACTTGGGCTGTGGTGGACGGGACTAGGTAAGGTAATTAGTGGTCCGGACCTTGTGACAGCCCATGGCGACATGGCCACCTTCCAAAGCCCAGGTGCCAGATGCCAGTTAGAGGTGTGCCAGGTTTCCCTGTGACCTTCTTCCCCCAAAGCCTCAAGGTAATATCCGACCTCACCTTGCCTTCCATTGCCTTCAGGTTCCATACCTTCCTTGCCTTAGCGACGGATGCAAGCTGCCGACTTTACCTTACATTAGGTAGTAGTTGCTTACTTTATTTTCCACCAGAGTTAGCAGACGACGACTGCAAGATTCTGCCGGGTGTGCCTCAACACTTACGCACTTACGTACCCGTCACTGATTACCTCAACCTTGGCGACCTTATCCATCACCTTCCTTTCCCTCGGGTTCACGCTTCGCCTCAGCACACACCTACACACTCGCGCGACATACCCACCTCATCGAGACGTCCCTCTCCCCAAACACCCACAACCTTCAACTCCGCCGACCCAGGCTCCAAGAACCTCCAACCTACGCACGATTCGGCCAACCTTCGAGTGCACGCCTTTCACTCCGTCACACTCGCCTAATTCCGTCCTCAACATTGCCAACCATCGCATTGCATTCGCGCAGCCCGACGACGACTTGCACCTCGCCTGACGTAGTCCACCGCTTTGCCCACTCCAGGCATCTTCTTGCCACAAAGCGCACCCACAATATCTCCAAACCACTCGAAACAAGACAGCTTCTTGATCTCACCCGTCACTACACAGCATCCGCAGCGGCTCACAGCTTTTGCCCAATATGTTTCGAGCTGCCGCAGCTGGTCCCTTTGACGAGGGCGTCGGTACGTGTGCAGCCTTGCGAACCAAACCCCATCGCTGGCCAACGTCGCTAACCTGCCCATCTTGCGTCATCTAGCCAAGGCCACCGACGAGAACCTGACGTCCGAAGACTGGGGAGCTATCATCGAGGTCTGCGACCGCGTAGGCAGCGATGCAAATGGTCCCAAAGAGGTTGTACAGGCAATGATCAAGCGCCTCGCCCACCGCAATGCCAATGTCCAGCTCTATACCCTCGAAGTGAGTTGCACCCTTTCCTCCCCGGCTCGTTGCTGCCGCACCCATGCCGGTTTACTGAACCTGTCGCTGACCTTGCTACTCTTCCTGCGCAATAGCTTGCGAATGCCCTCAGCCAGAACTGTGGCAAGAACATGCACCGCGAGCTCTCAAGCCGAGCCTTCACTGACGCCATGTTGAAACTCGCAAACGACCGCAATACCCATACCCAGGTCAAGGCCAAAATCCTCGAGCGCATGAAGGAGTGGTCCGACATGTTTAGCAAGGACCCCGATCTCGGCATCATGTACGACGCCTACTTCCGCCTAAAGCAGAACAACCCGACTTTGCAGGCCCCCTCGGCGCCCCAGAAGACTGGCCTGACCGACCTCGATCGCCAGAAGGAGGACGACGAGCTCCAGATGGCCTTGAAGTTATCGTTGCAAGAGGAGGAGAAGAAGAAGGCGCCTGCCGAGTCCAGCGCCGGTCCATCCTCTTCTGCCACCGCCGCTGGATCCTCGACACACGCCGCTGCACAGCCTCAAGCCCACTCTACACCAGTACCTGCTGGCACGACAGCTGCCACCGTATCAAGGGTGCGAGCATTGTACGATTTCGTTCCTTCCGAGCCGGGCGAACTCGAGTTCAAGAAAGGCGATGTTATTGCAGTCCTCGAGTCGGTTTACAAGGATTGGTGGCGGGGCTCACTCAAGGGGAAGACAGGAATTTTCCCCCTCAACTATGTTGAGAAGCTCACGGATCCCACTCCTGATGAGTTGGCACGTGAGGCACAGATGGAGGCCGAGGTGTTTGCAGAGATCAAGAATGTCGAGAAGCTGCTCACACTTTTGAGCACGTCCAATACGGCGCCGAGGGAAGAGGATAACGAGGAGATATCGGTAGGTCCTACGAGTGCCACCTCAGCCCGACCCGGTACTAACGAGTCGCCAATTAGAAGCTCTACCACCAAACGTTAGCCATCAGGCCGAAGCTGATCAAGCTTATTGAGAAGTACTCCCAGAAGAAGGGTCAGAGATGCTCCACTCGCTTGTCTATGCTACTTATACTGACCAAAACATGCAGATGACTTTACACAGCTGAATGAGAAGTTCATCAAGGCTCGCCGCGACTACGAGTCTCTTTTGGAATCATCCATGTCGCATCCTCCTCAGCCTAGTTACCACCAGTATGCCATGAGACCTGGCCCCGGCGGGTACCCAGGCGGACCGGGGGCGGGCTATCCCCCTCAGGGTCCTCCTCAAGGCCCTCCCCAGGGCCCTCCCCACCAACAGCAGCAGCAGCAGGAGCAGAGATACTATACTCCAGCACCCCAAGGTGAACTACCTTGATTGCCTTCTTCCAAGCGCACCAAGTTTAACTAGTTTGTACATAGAACAACCCCAATACCCTCAGTCTACGCCCTCGCCGAATTTCCAGCGTCCGGCACAGGCAACGCCTGCTCCCTTTTACGTAGCCGGTGCAGAGGTCCCCTCAGCGCCGCATCACAACCAACCGCAACAGTATCCTCCGCGTGATCAACGTGTTCCATCCACAGGCAAGGCACAGGTGCCGCCGATCAACACCTCGTCACCACCGCCGGCCAACACTTATTCCGCATATTCTGTGCCTCCCAACCAAGGAAGGCCACAGAGCACTTACGGTCCCCAGGAGCTGGCAACCTCTGTCTACGACTCGCCTATTGCTACCCATAACCCGAGCTCTGCTGCGACATATACATCCTCCGTGTATTCCCAAGACGATTACAACAACGGTAGCCCCGTCGTAGGTAATTCGACTGTTCCAGCACCTTCATCCTTCCAACCATCTGCACCACCAGTCGGGCAGCCCTCACAACCACCTCAACAACCACCGCAACAACACCAGCAGCCACAGTACCAGAGTTATCAGCCACCAGGAGCTCAGGGGCAGGATAACTACGTCAGTGCCCCTACTCAGGCACCGCCGCCTGTGCCAACTGGAGCAGCTCCGCCTATCCCTGGTGCCGGTCGATCTGAAGTGATGACGCCACCGCCCCTGCAGCCTGGCGGTGCGGCCTACGATGCTAGAAACAGCCTTCCAAGCCAGGGACCATCACAGCCGCAGTACAGGGCGTATGTTCCTCCCGGTGGTGGTGCTGATGGACCGAGCGCACCGCCCGCTGCGGATTACTATCGGCAGAGTGGCGTCTACTAGACGCGGGGAGTGGGCAGTAGCAAGCAGCCTTGATATTAAGTAGATGAGGTGGTCAGTTCGGTCGGAGGCCATCCTATTAGGCGGAGTACATTCAATATTTTTAATGACTTTTATTGACTGTGTCTGGGAGGTATTTTGGGCATTAACGGCCGCCCCTCGGCCATGCAAAGTTATGTTGTGTAGCAATCAGTCAATCGTATAGGTTGATTGAATTCAGGATGACGACTGTCAACTTTTTGGGAGTTCCAAGCCCGTCCAGAGGGCATCATACCCGGTATGGCGGGTAATTTGTCGATTGTGGGGAGGGAGGGAAACCACCGTAGTGAAAGTAGGAAGTAGAGAAAGGCCGAGGGAAGGGTAAATAACACTCGAATCTGTACACTACCTTGTCTCGTGGTTGGTGTAATCTTTTATTCTCATTGTCGAATCGCTGTTCCAGTCATGCGTTGCGAGGTAAGTGAAGCAAGGAAAGGGAGTGATTTGCATCGGTGCTTGATCAAACGTATGTCAATACTCCCTTTTGTTTCTATCATCGTATCATAAGAAGAAAAAGAATCCTATAACGCCAATGGTCCTGGGCTCTGTGGATGAAGCCGCCATCGTCGCACAACTCCCAAAACGCACACTGCCTCCTTCCCGTCATAATGCGCGAAACATGTTTTCCCTTCTACTCCATAACATTGCCCACCAGGACGAGACAGGATAGAAAGTGATAAAAAAAGGGGTTTCTACCAACGTCGACCAAACATCTCGTGCTCAGGCTTCTTGGCCTTCTTCTTTCCCGCAACCAAGCTGGACTCGGGAGACCCTTGCCTGCTCGTTCTCGCCGAGGTGGCCTGGGAGGCCGACGGGTCAGGATAAGAATCACCAAGGCCGATGACGGGCGCTTGGGGGGCATCGCGGCGGAACAGATCCATAATCTCCTTGAATCCGAGCTTGAAGGCGTCCTTCTTCATGCCGCCCTCAATGGCCGTCTCGGCGAGGAGTCGCTTCTTGTCCTGCAGCGCGAGAATGCGCTCCTCTACCGTGTTCTCCACGGTGAGCTTGTAGACGATGACGTCGACCGTCTGCGTGAGGCGGTGTACTCTGTCGATGGCTTGTTCCTCGACAAACTAGAAAGAGGTAGGATGATTAGCACACTGGAAGATGTATTTGTCTCGAACAAAACGCTAGGGGAGACTCACAGGATTCCAGAAAGGCTCCAGGATAATGACACGAGTCGCCGCAGTCAAGTTGAGACCCAAGCTACCGCACTTGAGACTGCAGAGAAGAATACGCGTGTTCTTGTCGTTGCGAAGACGGTCCAGACTAGCCTCGCGCTCGTCGTTCTTCATGCTGCCGTCGTACCGAGTGAACTTGAGCCCATCCTTGCGGAAGAAAGGCTCAACGAGGTCCATCATGGACGTGAATTGCGAAAAGACAATGAACTTGTGCTTGCGGGCCTCCTTGTGGAGAATCTGCATCATTTCGCGAATCTTGGCCGAGGCCAGAACCTTGGATGCCTTGCTCGCAGGATCGTAATCGGTGTCCTTGTCGGAATGCAGCTCCGACTCATCTACACCAGTGTCTTCTTCCGAATCAGTTTCGGAGTCCGAAACACGCGACTGCGAAGATCTGAGCTTCTCCTCCTTGACCTGCGATGCTATCGCTCCTATTGAGAGGAGGCTGTCGTCGGAGACGTCACTCTGGTCGCCATCCTGACCGTGCTTGTCCTCGTCATCCTTCACAACAAAGCTGTCGAGCTGGCTGTCATCGTCTTCGTCTTCGGAATCGTGCTTGGAATCATTCGCACCAATCCACTCGCCACCTCCCTCAGCATTCTCATCCTCTTCGCCGCCGGCCTTGCCCATCCGCAATTGGCCCTGCTGGTCCTCGGGTACGAGCCAGCTGCCGTCTGCCTCCTCATCATCACTATCCACGACGACGTTTCTGTTTCTGGGCCTCCTGGCCTTGGGCTTGTACGGTGTGTCTTCTTCGGCATCCCCTCCTAAGGATTTCCGCACCACCTTCTTGACACTGCTCTTCTGCTTCTTTTGTTTCCTTGACTTCGGCGTCTCGTGCTCATTGAAATACGCCAGGTCTTCGCGACACTCCTGGCAGGTGTCTTTGCCGCTATTGGCTACGTCCCGCGGCAACTCACGACCGCAGACGTCGCATTGCCTTGAGACTATGCCCATTCCGCCAAACATTTCAGCAAGAGAGTCGATGTCTCCGCGCGCGGTCTTCGGGGCGGCATCAGACAACGCTTCCCTGTCCTTTTCGAGCTTGCCTTCAAGCAGCTTTGGATGGTTACAAGCCTGCCTGAGCCGCAGGAGCAGAACCAAGGCATTAGCATAGTTGATCTTTCCCTGAAGCATTTGCTCGATGCTCTTGTCGGCTCGAGCTTCCAGTCTGGTATAGAAGCGACGC